GGGGGGGGGGGAGGGGGGGCATGCACAAGCGCGCGTGCTTCCAGCAATGCCAGGAGGCCGGGCCCTTGCGGCGCGAGGGGCCCGAGCGAGAGAGCGGCGACCCGGGGGTCAAGAGAAAAATCGGGGCAGCTGCTCGTCCCCCCGCACCGCGCGCAGGCACAATACTCCCTTGCAGGCAGGTTGCCGCCAGCCACTCACGATACTTGTGCACTCCAGGGCCCTTTGACGTCTCCCGCGTCCCCGATGGCGCTCCCGCCGCCCGGGTGGCCTCCTTGCGCCGGCGCCTTTCGACCAGCTGGGCTCCCTCGTCGAGCAGGCTGGCCCCCTCCCGCGGGCCCTCGGGACGAGAGACAGCGGTGGGGGCTCGCGCCCGCCGGGAGATGCGGGCTAGGGGCGCGTGGTGGGGAGTGGGCGGCGGCGGCGGCGGCGGCGGAAAAGGGGAGCCCGTGCGCGCGCTCGGCGGCACGGGCACCTGCCGGCACTGTGGCCGGGCTTCCGCCCCCTGCCCGCGCCAGTGACGGACCCGCTCCTTGCCACACGTCGACCGACGAGAGCCGGCGCACGGAAGTACATGCGCCTGGGCTTGTCGCCGTGCGTGTGCCGGTGCGCGTGCACATGCACATGCAAGGACACGCACACACGCACCCAACGCCCCGGCCGTGCGCACGCCTCACCGGTAGGAGCCCTGCTCGAAGTCGGGCGGCGGGGTGGCCCGTCCCCCGGCCGGGGCAACGGCGGCCGGGGCCGCCGCAGAACCCGCCGGGCCGCCCTCGTGGGTGCCCTCCTCCTCCTCCTCGTCGCCGGCATCGAAGGAGTCGTCGTCCGACCCACCGGAGTCGGTCATGATGAGCAGCTCGCCGGGGTTGATGACGCTCATCTCGATGGACTCCTGGCCGGCCGGCTGGGACCCGGCCCCGCCGGAGCCCAGCTGCCGGCTCGACTCGCCGCCCGGCCCCATGGACAGGGTGCTGGACACGCGGCCGCCGGCATAGCCGGCCTTCCGGTCCGCATGGCGCCCGGCCTCCAGGTCGTTGAGCGAGTCGTTCGAGCTGGACGCCGACATGTAGCCCAGATCATGCCCGGAGGGGTTGTCCCCGAGGGTGGTGTTACCCTTGACTCCCTCTTTGTGAGCGAACACGAAGCGGACGCCCAACGCGAGGGCAGCACAAGGCACCGTCACAGGCGGGGGGGGGGGGGAGACGCCGCGAACGGCAAAGCACCCGCACAGATGCACACAGACACAGGTTATGGACAGGACAGAGTAAGGCGGCACCCGGGCAGGGTAAAGGGGGAAGGGGGGGTGGGGGGGGGGGGAACAGGGCCGCGCGCAAAGAGGGGGCGTGGTTCCAGGGGTCAGCAACTTCGGAGAAGGCGGCAGGAGCGGAGGGCAAGACGAGGAGCCGCCGCATGTGGCGGTCTTCTCTGTCGGGACCATGCGAGGGCAGGGCGAGGGAGAGAGGGGGGGCGAGGGGAGGGGGGAGGCCCGACGGTCGGAGGGTCGGATGGGCGGATGCCGTGGGCAGAGGGCGGGAAGGGGGGAGGGGGGGCGGGAGGCGCGAGAGAGCAGGACAGGCCCCCACACACGGACGGACAGACAAGGGGAGGGAGAGCGCGAGAGAACGGAAAAGCGCAAGGGGGGGGCGGGGGCAGGGAGACAAAAGGGGCACTCGACGGAAGGCAACGGCGAAGATGAAGCTGCGCCCGATGGCCACCTCACGGCGAGCCGCGTGGGTGCTCTGTGTTTGCTGTCGCGCGGCCGCCATGGCCCCCTTTGGCCCCGGGGGCTCGCTCCCTGGCCCGCCCCCCATAGGCGGGTTTTGGTCTTCAATTTTTGCACTCCCTATGTCCCTTGTCCCTGCGCGATGGGCCCCATGTCCGGCACCACTGCCGGTCGGCCACGCCGCCCCGGGTGCCGGGTGTCGTGCCATCCTCCCGGCCCACGGCCCGGGTGCCAGGAGCTGCCTCTCGCCCATGGCGGACATTCGTCCGGCCGACAGCCCCCCTACCGCGGGCCGCCCTGTTCGTGTTTGGCCAGCCCCCCCCCCCCCC